CCCCAGACCGTTAGGACGGTTCAGGACCGTCATCGGTCGGCAAGGCAAAAATGCCGATGACGGTCCTGAACCGTCCTCGGTCCTTAAGGGGTTCAAATTATAGTAGGAGGGTTGCATAAAAGCTAAAAAAAAAACTGCAAAAAATAAACTTTTTTACTTTTGTTTAAAAAAGATTACAAGAAATTAAAAAGGTCAAATTCTATATTGGGGGCGGGGCCGGGCCGCCGAACTGAGAGGCAGCAACACACTATGCCTCCTGGCCTGAGCCCGGAAAAAACCCGCAAAATAAGCGCCCACAACACCCTGAAAAGGATTTGGCGGATCCACATTTACCAAACAGCACCCAAGCTTCCTGGGGATCCCAAACAGAGGCAGATCACAAGCCAGGAACACTGCAAACAAACAAGCAGGCCTTTGCACCATGAAAGATGGCGACTCCCGCCGACACGAACTGGCAGGCAGGTGTAAACCGGCCATAACAGCTACCTGGAAGAATTCTCCAAGGCAAGAGACGGCCCGGCTCCGCTCCCCCCCCCTGTTTTCCCCTATCCGGCTGGGGGTGGGGGGTAACCCAAGCCGCATGGCGGCGGCACCCTCCGAGGTGGAAGATACCGCACGGGGTCCAAGCTGCCCGCCTAAACGGGTAAAGGCAACAAATACAGCCCACCCGAAGACTTACCCCAGGAGGAGAAGCACCAAAAGGGACCAACATGGGCGGCTCACACGGGCCCTGGCAGGGCCAGGTGCCGGACGGATCCACCAGGCCGTGACCTCGACCACGGGAGAGGTGTGTGCCCGGGCATTTGGGTCAGGGGTCCCCAGAAAGCCTAGTCCCTGGCGCTGTGAGCCCGGTGGGGCGGGACTGTGCCGCCCCCCTCGACGGACCGGTGGTCGTGGGGGGCGGACGCCGGCTCCAAGCATGCGGCCGGCGTCGGGTGAGACGCAGGAACACACTCCTTAAGGGACCCAAGCGGGGCCGGGGAGGTGCAGGGAGTGGACGGCCGGAGGACTTATGTGGTGGGGCCCAACGGACAGTTTCAGCTCCCGAGTGCCCACGGAACTGTGGGGGACCAGACCGGTGAGCGGAGATCGGCGTGAGGGTGAGGGAAGGAGGCCAGGCACCCCAGGGACAGTGTGGAAGCAGCACCATGAGAGACTCCCCCAGACAAGCATGGAGACTAACAGAGCCACCCTGCTGATGGATAGCTCACATTTGGGTCTTAACAGCTGCATTCATTTTTTCAGTTTTTATCTATTTTGATTATAAGATGCTGGTTTAAAATATCACAGGAATGTACAGTTAATGCCAGAATGCCCATAGGGGCCAAAGGTAGATATTGATGCATATTTAATTGCTGACTGCTGCATGATAGCCTGTACAGTCGCATATTACTGTAAACCTGGTATCCAAATAGCTTTGTTATATATTAAGGCAGCAGACTAAAAACATATATGCTCCTTATGTTGAAAGTTGAAAAAGTTTTTGTATCTTAGATTATCGCTTAATGTCCGACTCTGATTAGCAAGCTGATTAAGTTGCCTCTGCACAGGCGACAATTTGCATTTACCAACTAGCAAACACGCAGCACTTAAACACACCAGTTAACACAAAACACTTACTTAACGCTATAACCAAACTAAAAAGGCAATACAGTACATAAGAGCATAAAACACAAAGCAACCAAATGTGCACAAAAAAACAAAAAAAAAAAACAAACACAGGCTAGGACAAACCCGCCTCTACGCAGACGACCAAATGTATATGCAGTGTTAAACCAATGTCTAAGCCCCTGCGTGGGCAATCACTTGCTTTTATTATGAATCAATCTGATGCATGACTTTATATTGTGCATACAATAAAAATATTCAAAACAAATTCTATATTGATGAGTTCACTCTCCACTGGACCACCAGGGATGGAAGCAGCACAGTCCCCCCTCCCTACATAAGGTAAGAAGGGAGGGAGGATATTAACTAAACGGCCCCCACACATTACACACAGCACACACACACACTAACAGCACCCTTACACTAACAGCACCCTTACACACACAGCACCCTCACACATACACACAGCACACACTAACAGCACCCTTACACATACAGCACACACACACACACTAACAGCACCCTCACACTAACAGCACCCTCACACTAACAGCACCCTTACACTAACAGCACCCTTACACACACAGCACACACACACACACTAACAGCACCCTCACAATAACAGCACCCTTACTCACACAGCACCCTCACACATACACACAGTACACACTAACAGCACCCTTACAGTAACAACACCCTTACACATACAGCACCCTTACACATACACACACTAACAGCACCCTTACACACACAGCACCCTCACACATGCACACACTAACAGCACCCTTACACTAACAACCCCATTACACACACAGCACCATCACACACAGAAGCACACACTAGCAGCACCCTCACACTAACAACACCCTCACACATACACACACACAGCACACACTAACAGCACCCTCACACTAACAACACCCTTACACACACAGCACACACTAACAGCACCCTTACACACACAGCACACACACACACTAACAGCACCCTCACACTAACAACACCCTTACACACACAGCACCCTCACACAAACAGCACACACTAACAGCACCCTTACACATACACACACTAACAACACCCTTACATACACACACAGCACACACACAGCACCCTCACCCACACACACAAAGCACACACTAACAGCACCCTTACACACACAGCATCTTCACAAACACACAGCACCTACACATAGCACCCTCACACACACAGCAGTGTATGTGTATATATGTGTGTGTGTATGTATATATATATGTGTGTGTTTCTGCTTTAGGGTGCACACCCTTACACAATAGGCTGCTCACGCCTATGATTTATTTATTTCCGTTAAAAGACACAGAAGGGGCACAGGCAGCAAGCCTCATTTTGGAGGAAGTTGATTTGTCAAGCTGGTGGTGGAGCGCGTTTTGCGTTTTGTTGAGTTAAGATTTACCATTCTCAGGAACTCTTTCATGTTAAACAGAATGTTGTTCCTATTTTTACACTCACTTCAACAATTCAATAAGACTTTCTAAAATAAGACCAGAGTAACCATGTAGCGATTAAACTTCTGGTCACTCACACAAGGACGAGCTACAAATAACCCAGGATTACACAACAGGCATTAAAAATAGACAGCCGTTCACCAAGTGTGAGTGGGGATCCGTAAACAGCATTGACCAAACTGTTCTGAAAAGTGACTCTTATATTCCGACATTATTGTGGTTTTATTTAGAAAAGTAAAACATTGCATGATACCACCAGACACCCAATGGAGGCACAGCTCCTCTCTTCTCCTCCCTGACATCGCTCCACCCCCAGCGAAGGGAAATGCACAGAAAGGATTACTACAACCAAAACCAGTGTTTTATGAACTAACCCACTTACTTTAATTTCTATTTATTTTATTTTATGCTTTGTTCTCCGCCGTGCATGGTGACTGGAGTCTGCTACAGCGGGTACAATGGGTTACAGAGGGGTAAAGCGAGTACAACAGGTTACAGCGGGTACAATGGGTTACAGAGGGGTAAAGCGAGTACAACAGGTTACAGCGGGTACAATGGGTTACAGAGGGGTAAAGCGAGTACAACAGGTTACAGCGGGTACAATGGGTTACAGAGGGGTAAAGCGAGTACAACAGGTTACAGCGGGTACAATGGGTTACAGAGGGGTAAAGCGGGTACAACAGGTTACAGCGGGCCACAATGGGTTACAGAGGGGTAAAGCGGGTACAACAGGTTACAGCGGGCCACAATGGGTTACAGAGGGGTAAAGCGGGTACAACAGGTTACAGCGCGTACAATGGGTTACAGAGGGGTAAAGCGGGTACAACAGGTTACAGCGGGTACAATGGTTACAGAGGGGTAAAGCGAGTACAACAGGTTACAGCGGGTACAATGGTTACAGAGGGGTAAAGCGAGTACAACAGGTTACAGCGGGTACAATGGGTTACAGAGGGGTAAAGCGAGTACAACAGGTTACAGCGGGTACAATGGGTTACAGAGGGGTAAAGCGAGTACAACAGGTTACAGCGGGTACAATGGGTTACAGAGGGGTAAAGCGAGTACAACAGGTTACAGCGGGTACAATGGGTTACAGAGGGGTAAAGCGAGTACAACAGGTTACAGCGGGCTACAATGGGTTACAGAGGGGTAAAGCGAGTACAACAGGTTACAGCGGGCTACAATGGGTTACAGAGGGGTAAAGCGAGTACAACAGGTTACAGCGGGTACAATGGGTTACAGAGGGGTAAAGCGGGTACAACAGGTTACAGCGGGTACAATGGGTTACAGAGGGGTAAAGCGAGTACAACAGGTTACAGCGGGTACAATGGGTTACCCGCTGTAACCTGTTGTACTCGCTTTGGTTGGTGCGTGGCAGCGTGGGCGTGTAGTGCCACCTGGATATTCTCTTACAGTTGTGTTCGTGTGTGGCATTGCTAATGGAAGAATTGAGAAATGTAGATTTTATGTACCACTATCATAATGTATTATACTATGTGTGGCGAAACCAACCTCGCCACTGTGCACTGGAGAAGCCTGGTTGCCAGCCTCCTGCCAACTGACTATGGCCCCCTTGTGAATTCGTACTTTTGTATGCAATATTTGGGCATGTGACTTTCTTATATTGCTGCTACTGGCCCTTTAAGGGCCATCCGTGAACATATTCTGCCTGTTAGGAATAATGCCTTTTTAAGACTGTGTAGCAAATTGCATTCAGGCTGTATTTAATATTATATGTTCGGTATAAAGTGTTATGTGAATGCAGCATTCCCCTGATTGTTCGGTAGAATCACTTCGTTCATTATATTGGGTGAAACTACCGAACAACCAGACCACCCGGGAGTAAGTGTGCCTCCAATTACCGTTTGCAACAATGTTGCAAACGGGTAATTGGCAATATGTGTAATGTGTGTTGTGTCCTCTGGGTGGCCGCCATTCGGGAAACGAACACGTGGCGGCGGCCATCTTAAACTCTCGAACAGCGGTGTTTTGCCGTCGAGTGTCTGGAACTAAAATCGGACACTTGACTAAGCAAACACCGCTGAGACCTCCAGACTTCCAGCAATTCGTGCAGAAACTACCGAACGGCCCGCCGTTCGGTAGAAAGGATCCCACGAACAGGGGGATTCATACGAATCCTCCCCAAGCTCTGTAACCCAGGCAATTCGTGTGATTCATTCCCTTTTCTGTGACCGACTGCAGGGCCAAAGTACATGGAACTATTTTCGGATACTTTTGCCATGCAGTCGGTCAAAACTTTAACTCTTTATAATTCCTGAACCCCTGGTCCGATCTGGGTGATTTTTGGATATGTGTCTCACCCAGATCAGGGTTACCAGGGGATGTAACATTTAAAGGGGTATTCCTATGTTTATGGGTACATCCAGTATCCCAGGGAATTTGTGTCTGTACTAATGGGATTATGTGTCACACTAAGGGGAGGAGATGTGTGGGAGGTAACTGGTACCTTATTGGCTGGGGTACTAATTGTTGTGGATCCCTCCCTTGCATGGGAGAATGTCTTAAAAGGAGGCTGTGTGAATAAATCGAGAGATTCTGCTTAACCCTCAAAACGAAGTGTCGTCTTGTTATTGGGGGAATTGGATTGTGAGCTGACTGCCAGGAGTGTAAGCTGTTCGTACTGCTGTTTGTGCTTCGTGAGTTGGGTATTCGTACAGTTTGGAGTTCGGGAGGTTGGTGATTGCAGTAGCTGCTGGTCTATTGAAAGGGGATTATCGCCTAAACCGATTTTATGCCCTTGTGAGAGAAACGGCCCGTTACACTATGTATGAAACACTTTTGAAAACCAAATTAATATTAATTTAAAAAATAAAATAAAAATAGTAGAGAATACTTTTTCTCAAGGGGAGCGTGATTTCTGACAATGGCTTCAGTGGCTAATTTACCCCCATCCATCTATGGAATCCCACATGACATGCGCATCGTCTTTTCGGCATATGATTTACATTACCTGACTTACCCCCCTTCCCAGACAGACACGGACACTAAATTAAAGTGGGTAAATGTCACGGCTTTAATGATTAAAAGGCTCATTGTCAGACCGAACTCTGTACATATGCCATTAACCCCATAACGTAACATCCATAATCAATAACAGTATTAGAATTGTATAATACAACACACACAGCCACAACAGGCAACGTAATATAACAGTTTTAACATTGTTGGGGTATACCGAGACACCCCTACACCACTAGGTTGAGAGCCTCTATTCCAGCTTAAACCTCCAAACTGTGTGTCGTCCTGTTATTGGAGGGAAGGAAGATTTAACCCCTGTGTCTGCTGTTCCAGCTTGCAGGGGATTCAACAGGGAAAGTCCTGGTAAGGACTAAGAGCTTCCAGGGCTGGGTGCCGTCTCTGCCTGGGAACGAGATACTGGGAAGTCATCCCGCTACAGTACCCCTCTTTGTACCCGCTGTACCCCTCTGTTAGCTGTTGTACACCGGTGTACCCTTCTGTACCTCATTGTAGCCTGATGTACCCCTCTGTAACCCATTGTACCCGCTGTAACCTGTTGTACTCGCTTTACCCCTCTGTAACCCATTGTACCCGCTGTAACCTGTTGTACTCGCTTTACCCCTCTGTAACCCATTGTACCCGCTGTAACCTGTTGTACTCGCTTTACCCCTCTGTAACCCATTGTACCCGCTGTAACCTGTTGTACTCGCTTTACCCCTCTGTAACCCATTGTACCCGCTGTAACCTGTTGTACCCGCTTTACCCCTCTGTAACCCATTGTACCCGCTGTAACCTGTTGTACTCGCTTTACCCCTCTGTAACCCATTGTACCCGCTGTAACCTGTTGTACTCGCTTTACCCCTCTGTAACCCATTGTAGCCCGCTGTAACCTGTTGTACTCGCTTTACCCCTCTGTAACCCATTGTACCCGCTGTAACCTGTTGTACTCGCTTTACCCCTCTGTAACCCATTGTACCCGCTGTAACCTGTTGTACTCGCTTTACCCCTCTGTAACCCATTGTACCCGCTGTAACCTGTTGTACTCGCTTTACCCCGCTGTAACCCATTGTAGCCCCCTGTAACCTGTTGTACTCGCTTTACGATAAATGTTGGAGATGCCAGTAGCAGAAAGGCACCCCAGGCCACAGTTGGCAATCACAGGGGTTGATATCCCAACCTCTCCAAATGTATCATTGTTTCTCCTTCCTCCAACTCCATTATCCAAGACCAAACGAATTCTGATACACCATCTCCGGACGGCAGCCAACATGTTAATCCCCCTAACCTGGAAAAAAATCAACACTCCCTTCAATCCGAGATTGGATACAAAAGGTAGAAAGCATCCGAATTATGGCAGAAATCCATCTTTCCTTTGTACAGCCATATACACGCTATACTGAATGCACCCCTGAGAACCATATCTCCCCTTCTTCCCCACTTAGCTCCCATGTCGTAACAAACCAGATGGGAGAAATCTGTCACACTTACATCCTTGGCCTTCAGAACCATTTAAGAGCTGATCTGGACACAAGGTCACTCCCTGCGGATGTAGAAAAGTGCTCCTCACTGACAGGTGCATGCACCCCATAGGTACACAGGTTTAGGAATGGTACACCTACACAAAATCAAATGGACAAAACATACACAAGAACCCATTCAATGAATAAAGACGATAAGTCTCACGGCCCAAGACTGAATCAGAAGTAGTCCATCATCTCATGGTTCCAGCTGTGACGTAATATACAGATGTTATACATATTTTAAATATGGCAAGTGTTTTTCCAAAGCCGAATTAATGATCCTTTTGGCTGTACTGTACCAATGTTGTGTACCCGAAAGTGATTCATGTACCGTTTTGTGATTTTTCTATTGAGAAAATTAAAAATATTAAATATCAAAAACAAATAAAATCAATTTTTGAAATTTGACAATCGGTAGTTTTCCAAGTCCATAAACTGACAGATGGCGGTGTGTCATTCATTGACTGTTGTACAGTTCAGTAGCCGATAAAAATATGGTTAGATAGTCTCTACTTTATTTAATGTAACACTAAAACCAAGTGACGAGGCCACGCTATAACAACCTGCAGTTATTGGCTGTTTTACCGGTAACTCTATAAACACAGAAGTCGATGTTTGGTCACTGACCGCTTCCTGCAGTCACCCAAACAGTTCTTCTTTCAGTGAGGCCCACAGGGATGTTACTGACCTGTGAACTGTCAGTGAGCCAGCAACTGAACTTGAAGCACAGCTGACTATATTGGCCTAACATTGTAACGTCACTTTAAATTATGTTTAACCCCTTAATGTCTGGTCAGAAGAGTAAATCTAAAACGTTAACCCCTTACTATCTGATCAGAAAACAAATCTAATGTTTAACCCCTTACTGTCTGATCAAAAGAGTAAATCTAAAACGTTAACCCCTTACTATCTGATCAGAACAGAAATCTAATGTTCAACCTATTACTGTCTGATGAGAAAAACATTTTTTATGTGTAACCCCTTAATGTCTGATCAGAAGAGCAAATCTAATGTTTAACCCCTTATTATCTGATCAGAAAACAAATCTAATGTTTAACCACTTATTATCTGATCAGAAAACAAATCTAATGTTTAACCCCTTATTATCTGATCAGAAGAGCAAATCTAATGTTTGACCCCTTACTGTCTGATCAGAAAACAAATCTAATGTTTAACCCCTTTGTGACAGATTCACCTGTATTGCTGGTTCGTCTGTTTCCCTTTGTTCGCTGGATTCCCTGTTCGTATACCCCCGTTCGTGTAATTTGCAAACTACCAATTGAAACTACCGAACGAACGACCACCCAGGAGAGGAGTGTGCTGCTGGTTAACCTCTTGGCCCCAATTAGAACGTTGTGGTTAACCGCAGACACCTCTCCATTCCATTCGTACGGGTGGTCGTCGTTCGCATGTCGACCACGAGGCAGCGGCCATTTTGGGACACACGAACGCATAGCGGTGTTCGGTACAAACTGTATGGAACTAAAAACGGACACTTAAACTACCGAACACCGCTGGAAGCTGATGCCCACCTTCTATTTCGACAAGGCATGCGAACGTCGGTCGTTCGGGAGTTTTTATTGCATTCGTATGGACTTTTACCCAGACAGCCGTCCCATGGAGTCATTCGTATACCGAAGGGCTGGTGCAAGACTTTGACTCTGTAGCGGATGGCACCAGGCGACCCTACAAATATACTGTATATACCTGCATTTGTGTATCTGCTGTGTTTTCTATGTGTTAAAGAGAATTGTATTCCTCTGATTGTTCGGCAGTTTCATTCCCTTAGTTTATTCGAATGAAACTACCGAACAACCAGACCTCCCCTGTGTGAAGTGTGTCCTCAATTACACGTTGCAACATTGTTGCGAACGGGTAATTGGATAGTAAGTAGCCGTCCTTTGTTCTCGGGGGTGGCCGCCATTCGACAAACGAACACGTGGCGGCGGCCATTTCAAAACTCCCGAACAGTGGTGTTTTGCCGTCGAGTGTCTGGAACTAAAATCGGACACTCGAGTAGGCGAACACCGCTGAGACCTCCACAACCCTGGTCCGTTCGGTTCCAAACTACCGAACGGCCCCTCGTTCGGTAGATAGAAAATACCGAACGAGGGGATTCAGGCGAACCCTCCCTAGCCTCTATAGCTAGAGGTTTTCGCGTATTTTGTTCCCTTATGCCAGGACCGACCGCAGGGCCCATTCTCATGGAACCGAATTCGGCTATCTCAGTTAGTGCGATCGGTCATTTTATTCCCTCCATACATTTCCCGAACCCCTGGTCTGATCTGGGTGATTTTTGGATATGTTGTTCACCCAGATCAGGGGTATCCGGGGATGTAGGATTTAAAGTGGTACCCCTACGTTTAGGGGTACATCCAGAAACGGGGGGAATTGGTGTGCTGGATAAGGGGATTATGATGCTGGCTGAGGGGAGGAGATGTGTGGGAGGTTACCAGGACAGGATTGGCTACTGTAATAATTATTGTAAATCCCTCCCTTGCATGGGAGCATGCTTTAAAAGGAGACTGTGGATTAAAGCTTTCAGTTCTGCTCCTGAAACTGTGTGTCGTCCAGTTATTGGGATTGCTGTTGGGATATTGCTGTATTTTACCTGCTGGAAACCTTGCCTGTGGATTTACTATTTACTTGTTCCTGAGCCTCACTTGGATTATAAGCGGAGATAACCTGGGTAATATTGCATCTCCGCTACAGACTCCATGGCGATTCGACTAGATACATCGGATCTGAGCGCTATTCGGTGAAAATGTGCACTCAGATCCAGGCTGTCTGGGGATGCGTTACACGAACTATATTCATTCGGTATTTCTTCAGTTATGTATTTTAATGTATTTTTATTACTGTAATTTAAAATGGTGATTGTCTCTACCTTGGGAGATAATTAGGTTTCTTCCTAATTATCTCCGGGGTAGAGAAGACGGATATATGGGTAAGATGGGAAGGGCTTATAGTGAAGCCACTGCGATTGGCTACTGTCCAATATGTTTTACAGTCTTCCACAAGGTCCCCTTGGGGAGTGTCCACCTTGTGGAGACCTGCATAAATACCGGGCAGGTAGCCCCCATTAAACAGATCTTTATTTGACCCTCAAGACGGAGCTTAGTCTCGTTTGTGGGGGAATTATTACTGGGACAGCGCTTTCGTTATTTTTAGCTGTGGAAGGCGTTCGACTGTTTGCTGATCGGGAGTTGCCGTGTTCGTGGACTTCGTTCGGGAGTTTGCCGGTCGGCTGGATTTAAACTGCATTTCTGGAGAAGGGGATTATTTACTAAACGGCGGCTTCATCTACCTGGCGGTTCGTGTCTTAACACCCTTACTATCTGATCAGAAGAATAAATCTAATGTTTAACCCCTAACGTCTGATCAGAAGAGCAAACCTAATGTTTAACCACATACTGTCTGATTAGAAGAGCAAATCTAATGTTTAACTCCTTACTGTCTAATCAAAAGAGTACATTTAATTGTGGTGGACCGCCTGGCACCCGAGCTAGGTGCCTCCGCCAATCGATGCTTCCTAGTGCTCACCAAGTACTCCAAGCACTCCACCAGACACCATAACCACCGTAAACCCCGCAGCCAGTGTTACAACTTAGTTGGGGTCTTGCTGTTCTCCACCCACCCTGAACCCAAGACTAGGATCCAGCTTCCAGTGGGTAGACCTCTCCAAATTCAGAGAGGTAAGCAGGATAGCTCTTACAAGAGCTAGTGTTTATAATTCAAGGGGATATAGGGTAATATAGCTGTCCCCAGAGTGAATATAGCTGTCCCCTCCACACATGAGACGAGGCTCTATGTTGAGGGTGAAGAGGAACTGGTTTAATGGGAGCCACATGCAGCCTTATATGCAACTCCCAATGTAAAGAGGCATTCCCCCCTGGACCTGAGAGGGGACTGTGACAAAGTACACACTGTAATTACATTGGCTCTCAGGTCCACTCAAAACAAGATAATCCCCCCTTGTGCCTGAGAGATAACGGAGTCAGGAACTGTACTAAACTCAATTATCTCCAGGCACAGAAAACACACATTTTACAATAACCCGAAAGTACCCCCAAAACACATGGAAACCCCACAAAAGTCACATCCCCTGATAGCCCCAATCTGGGGGTCCAACATATCCAAAAATCACACAGATCGGTTCAGGGGTTCAGGAGATTCCTGGAAGTCTTATTTTTGCCCCACCGTGCACATGGTCCCATGCCCAAAACAGTTCCAGGGAAATTGGGCTTGCAGTCAGTCTCTCTTTCTGGAGTACGAAAGTACAGAAATCATCTGAATGCAGCCTTCTTAAAGTGCATTGAGTGATGTATATTGCAGGGCCCATAGTCCTGAGGCCGGAGGCTGGCAAGCAGGCCCCTCCAAGGGCGTCCGCCCCATTAATGTTTAACCCTTTTGTGGCGAAACCAACCTCGCCACTGTGAACTGGAGAAGCCTGGTTGCTCGCCTGCTCCCTTTGGACTATGGCCCTGCAGGTTAAACCGTTTATTTCCCCTGCAGAAAGGCTTATTTGTGTGATCTGAGTGCCATTCATCTAATAATGTGCACTCAGATCCCAGCTATCTGGGGATATGTGAAATGTCTGTGTGTTATGTGTAAATGGGACTTTATGTATTTTAAAGTGTTGTTTTGTGTCTTTTTGCAACCATGTGCTTAATGGAGTCTTGTGTCTATCCTGGGAGATAATTGAATTACTTATCTCCAGGATAGAAGACTCTGAAACTGGTTTGGGCCAGAAAGCCATGCTTCATTTAGTCACAAAGGACTTTTACTAACTTTTGAACCCCTTGTCTGATTTGTGCCATTTTTGAATATGTTGTTCCCCTGAATGGATTGATTGTGAATATGTAATTTTATGTGAATGTGATGTATGGTTTTGGAGTTATGAAAGTTGGGTAGAAAGTATGTTTTAACTGTATGTATAATTGAGTTTCCTCTCAGGATAAGGGGAGGGAATATGTGGGATGTAACTGTGATGTGATTGGTTGTTTTGTAACGCCCTGTGGGCTGTACTATGTTTGTGGATTGGGAATAAAAGAGACTGTATGTGACAGTACAGGGAGTTCCTGTTTTAACCCTCAAAGTGAAGTGTCGTCTCATTATTGGGGGAAGGATTTATTGTATGCTGTTCCAGTTTGACTGCTAGGAGAGTAAACCTATTCGTATGGTTCCTATTCAACTGTCTACAGCATTCATATGCTTGAGAGGCATTCATATGCTCCTACAGTTCGGTGGTTTTGGTGTCTGCTGCAGTGCTTGGAGTCCTCAGGAAGTGCTAGGAGCATCCTTCAACGGAGGTGCCCAGTCGGGGTGCCAGTCGATCCGTTACATTGGTGGCAAGCGGTGGGATGGCGTCCTAGTGCGAGGTAAAGCAGCTCTGAGACACAGTTCGTGGATTTACAAATTGAGGGCAACGCTAGTACCCGTACAGCGACCCTATCTACAAAAGAACTAACTTCAGCAGAGCAAGCATGGCGTATGACTACACTCAGGAGGAGTTTGACAGAGAGGTTAATGAGGTGCTGTCTACCTTTGGACCCAACCCCCCAGAGAGAGCTGTGCAGCTCGCCAGGAAACTAGTAGGAGAATACCTGCAATCTCTAGTAGATTTGGCCAAAAAGGAGTCCCAGGGAGCCAAAGGTGTCGTCCTTCCTCCCCAGCGGCAGTGTGTACCCCAGGGAGCAGAAGGTGTTGTCCTTCCTCCCCAGCGGCAGTGTGAGTCCCAGGGAGCCAAAGGTGTCGTCCTTCCTCCTCAGCGGCAGTGTGTACCCCAGGGAGCAGAAGGTGCTGTCCTTCCTCCCCAGCGGCAGTGTGTATCCCAGGGAGCCAGAAGGTGCCGTCCTTCCTCCCCAGCGGCAGTGTGTATCCCAGGGAGCTGAAGGTGCCGTCCTTCCTCCCCAGCGGCAGTGTGTACCCCAGGGAGCAGAAGGTGTTGTCCTTCCTCCCCAGCGGCAGTGTGTGTCCCAGGGAGCCAAAGGTGTCGTCCTTCCTCCCCAGCGGCAGTGTGTACCCCAGGGAGCAGAAGGTGTTGTCCTTCCTCCCCAGCGGCAGTGTGTGTCCCAGGGAGCCAAAGGTGCAGTCCTTCCTCCCCAGCAGCAGTGTGTATTCCAGGGAGCTGAAGGTGCCGTCCTTCCTCCCCAGCGGCAGTGTGTACCCCAGGGAGCTGAAGGTGCCGTCCTTCCTCCCCAGCGGCAGTGTGAGTCCCAGGGAGCCAAAGTTGTCGTCCTTCTTCCCCAGCGGCAGTGTGTACCCCAGGGAGCAGAAGGTGCCGTCCTTCCTCCCCAGCGGCAGTGTGTATCCCAGGGAGCTGAAGGTGCCGTACTTCCTCCCCAGTGGCAGTGTGTCCTGCAGGAAGCAGAGACAGTCGGTCTCGCTCCCCAGCAGCCGGACAATATATTAAAAGGGGAGACAGTTGGTCCCCCTCTCCAACAGCAGAGAGTGTTCCAGGGAGAGGAACCAGTTATCACCTCTCCCCAGCAACAGGACAAATTATTGAAAGGGGAGACAGTCGGTCTCCCCCTTCAACAGCAGAGAGAGTGTCAGGGAGAGGAGCTTGTTATCCCCTCTCTCCAGCGGCTGAAAGTATGTATGGGAGAGGAGCTTGTTACCCCCTCTCCCCAGCGGCAGCTTAGCCCACCAAGGGGAGACAGTAATCTCCACAACAGTGCAGATGGGACAGTGGTCTCTGCACATGCACCACCGGGGGTAGGGACAGTCGGTCCTGTCCCCCAGCAGCAGGACTGTTTAGGCAAAGGGGAGACAGTCTGTCTCCCCCTCCAGCAACCAGGCTCCAACCAGACTACTCCCGTGGTAGTGCTGGCACCAGGGCATAGTACCGCTGGTCTCTGCCCACTCAGCAACCCACCAAGGCAGCCTAACAGTTGCCCACACAGTCGTGGTGAGGCACCTGGACATGGACAAAGTTCTCCTCTACCCAGGTGTAGTAACCAGGGCCGGCCTTAGGCAATTAGGCGCCCTGTGCAAAAAGTCTTCACGGCGCCCCCCCCACCTCCCACCAAGTTGCCTGAATACAGTAACACACACAGGCACCGGGGTCGTGTGTATCACGAGGCAAACAAGGCATCTGCCTTGGGCGCCACTTTGCAGGGGGCGGCAAAAAAAAGCATCCCTCCAAACCCCCAGGCAGATCCCTTTCTTGCCTCGCATCCTGGGGGGCTCAAGAGCTGACCGGCTGGCCACTTTTGAGCCCCCCCAAGGCTGGCAGCGGGCAGCGAAGGAGCATACTCACCTGAGCTCTTCCTGCTCAGCTTCCTCTGCGCCGCTTAATGAAGCCGGGAGCCAGAATATGACGTCGGTCCGGCTCCCGGCATCACTAAGCGCTGCTTACTCAGCCTGTGCGCCCCCTGCCTGCCTGCCCAGCAGCCACACTGGACTGCTGGTAAGAAATCCACTCCAGCTTTCCCAGGGAGGCTGGGTGGATTTAAAATAAATGTAAAAATATTAGTTTGTGAGTGTTAGTGGAAATGTCTGTGTGTGTGTCTGTGAGTGTTTATTTTGAAGTGAATGTGTGTGTGTGTGTGTGTCTGTAAGTGTGTAATTGTGTGTGTCTGTAAGTGAATGTGTGTGTGTCTGTGAGTGAATGTGTGTGTGTCTGTAAGTGAATGTGTGTGTGTCTGTGAGTGAATGTGTGTGTTGGTCAGTGAGTGTGTATGTGTCAGTCAGTGAGTGTGTATGTGTCAGTCAGTGAGTGTGTATGTGTCGTCAGTGAGTGTGTATGTGTCAGTCAGTGAGTGTGTATGTGTCGTCAGTGAGTGTGTGTCGGTCAGTGAGTGTGTAGGTCAGTGAGTGTGTATGTGTCGGTCAGTGAGTGTGTGTCGGTCAGTGAGTGTGTAGGTCAGTGAGTGTGTATGTGTCGGTCAGTGAGTGTGTGTCGGTCAGTGAGTGTGTGTCAGTCAGTGTGTATGTGTCGGTCAGTGGAGTCGTGCATCTTTCAGTGAGTGCTTGCATCTGTCAGTGAGAGTGTGCATCTGTCAGTGTGTGTCCAAGTAATAGTGTATGTGTGTATGTCGTTGTTTGTCAGTGTATATGAGAGTGTGTGTCTGTCAGTGAGTGTGCGTCTGTCAGTGAGTGAGCGTCTGTCAGTCAAAGTGCGGCCTTGACAGGAAGGGGTGGGGAAATTTAAACTCGGTTACAGGCATGTACACACACACTCAGTTAAAGGCAGTCACACATACAGGCACAGGCACAAACAATGGCACAGCTACAGCGACACACACAGACAGACAGTCACATAGGCAGTCACACACACAGACAGACACACAGTAACACACACATAGACAGTTATATACACACAGGCAGGCAGTCACACAGATAGAAAGTCACACACACAGGCAGGCAGTCACACACAGACAGATAGTTACAGACAGACACACACAGGCAGGCAGGCAGTCACATCCAGGCAGTCACACACACAGGCAGTCACACACACAGACAGTCACACAGACAGACAGTCTCACACACACAGGCAGTCACACACACGGGCAGTCACACAGACAGACAGTCACACAGACAGTCACACACATGGGCAGTCACACACACAGACAGTCACACACAGGCAGGCACACACAGAGACAGTCACACACACACACAGAGACAGACAGTCACACACACACACACAAGGACAGGCAGTCACACAGACAGTCACACACACACACACACAGACAGTCACACGCACACAGGCAGGCAGTCACACAGACAGTCACACACACACACAGACAGTCACACAAACAGGCAAACAGTCACACACACACACTTACCTCTTTCCAGTGGATGCAGTTGGCTGATGGTGAAGCATCTTTCCCTCTTCCTGTACAGCAGGGGCTTCGGGAGGTATTAGCCCCGTCTCCGCCTCTCGATAAGCCCCGCCTCCGCCGCTCGGTAAACCCCGCCCCCTCTGCCGCGATTTTTTTATTTTTTTTTATTTTTTTAATAGACCCGGGTGGAGGCCGGCCATGAGTGAGCTGTGTCGGCCACAGGGCGCCCCCTGTTCCATGGCGCCCTGTGCGGTCGCACAGCTCGCACACCCCTAAGGCCGGCCCTGGTAGTAACCAGTTATTGTGGGTGGGCTGTACTGCTGTTTCTGTTTTGTGGGTGGGTTGCTGGACTAACCAGGGCACTGACCGGCAGGAGGTCAGATACCCTGTTAGTCTAGCTGGTAAAGGGGAGAAGTGTGGCGAAACCAACCTCGCCACTGTGAACTGGAGAAGCCTGGTTGCTCGCCTGCTCCCTTTGGACTATGGCCCTGCAGGTTAAACCGCTTATTTCCCCTGCAGAAAGGCTTATTTGTGTGATCTGAGTGCCATTCATCTAATAATGTGCACTCAGATCCCAGCTATCTGGGGATATGTGAAATGTCTGTGTGTTATGTGTAAATGTGACTTTATGTATTTTAAAGTGTTTTGTGTCTTTTGCAACCATGTGCTTAATGGAGTCTTGTGTCTGTCCTGGGAGATAATTGAATTACTTATCTCCAGGATAGAAGACTCTGAAACTGGTTTGGGCCAGAAAGCCATGCTTCATTTAGTCACAAAGGACTTTTTTACTAACTTTTGAACCCCTGGTCTGATTCATGCCATTTTTTAATATGTTGTTCCCCTGAATGGATTGATTGTGAATATGTAATTTTATGTGAATGTGATGTATGGTTTTAGAGTTATGAAAGTTGGGTAGAAAGTATGTTTTAACTGTATGTGTAATTGAGTTTCCTCTCAGGATAAGGGAGGGAATATGTGGGATGTAACTGATATGTGATTGGTTGTTTTGTAACGCCCTGTGGGCTGTACTATGTTTGTGATTTGGGAATAAAAGAGACTGTATGTGACAGTACAGAGAGTTCCTGTTTTAACCCTCAAAGTGAAGTGTCGTCTCATTATTGGGGGAAGGATTTATTGTATGCTGTTCCAGTGTGACTGCTAGGAGAGTAAACCTATTCGTATGGTTCCTATTCAACTGTCTACAGCATTCATATGCTTGAGAGCATTCATATGCTCCTACAGTTCGGTGGTTTTGGTGTCTGCTGCAGTGCTTGGAGTCCTCAGGAAGCGCTAGGAGCATCCCTCAACGGAGGTACCCAGTCGGGGTGCCAGGTGATCCGTTACACCTTTCATTTCTGGTAAAAAAAAGAAAAATAGGTACAGAACTGTATTTAGGAACTGATTGTTATCAATATTTGGTTTTCATAGTATTGTTACTGAATGTCAATAAAATCCTGAAGAAATCTGCAATGATGAAACTCGTGAATTCCTAGTGATAGTTGATGTTTTCATTGTTTGTGACAGGTTGTTCCAGGTTTGGTAAATGACCATACTTTGATTGATGGTTGATTTTTCTGGTCAGACAGCTGTCCTTGGATGTTTGGATACAGAATAAATTATTAGATATCTCAGTGATACATTACATTTGATTGTCTGCTTTTATTTGATTAGTCCCTACTAATATTTAGCAAAATGTCCACCCTCCTGATCTGTCCTGTAATGTGCATTCTCTGCATTTGATCCATTAAAGGAAGAATCGGGATAATCTGCCCTGAATTAAATGTTGCCAATCTCTCAGAAGATGTGCAACATGCGGGATGGGGGATTAGGGCAGAAGGTGGTGAGTCAGCGAAGCAATGCGGCTCCTGTGGAGAGGGTGCGTTATATGGCAAGCAC